AGAACATTATATGAGCAGCCACAATGTATATTATATAATAGCTGAACCCTGTGCGCTTAGTTACCCCTTTTGATTTTATATGCATTCAAAATTGTACATACGAGTATTTTACGGTTTTTAAAAAAAACGTGGTCCTTCATTCCAAACTTCATTAATATTCTTCACACCCAATCTTGATACCAGTTCCAGTGTTGGTAAAATAGTTTGTAAAAAATGTGTGCAATTTGAAGACCATGGGACTATTATTTCACATTTTATAAAAGAGACGGCTATTTAAAATGTTAACTCTTTTTGGGGGAGGTGCCTGAAAGAGTAAACCGATATATTCCAACTCCACACTACATCTTGTGTTGATAAAAATATTAAGATGTGCGAAAGTTGAAGATAATCACATTCTTATTTCACATTTTATAAGAATTATAATTATTCAACATGTTTTGCCTTTGTTTGGGAAGTACTTGATGGAGTATGCCGATATATTTTATTTATGTAGCTGACCTAACACTGATAAAAATATTGGAATTTGCGATATTTGCTCAAAATTGAATGATTCTTTCCTGTCCCATGAGGTAAATTATTTTCTGTGAACATTTTGCCATCTCCGAACTCGATCTTAGTTTGATAACAATATTACCAAGTTTGGAACAAATCGGATACTCCCTTATCGTGTACACCAGCCAGCAAGAAAGACAGACATACGGATGGACGGAGACGCCTGGATCGACGGAGACGCCTGGGCCAAAATACTGCAGAGCAACATCCGGGCAGCGTTTGATGGTTTCATTGGCCGTTTGAAGGCCATACATCGTGCAAAAGGTTACCAATTCAAACAAATCTAAACTTATTCTAAAATTTGATACTATTTCCAACATTTTTTTCTTTCATTCAATAAAATGAAAAAAAAAAATAATGTAAAAATTATGGCGTTTGACTTTGTCGCACTTTTTTATCTCACCCTGTACGTTTAAGAAGACCGAATAATGGCTCCCTTTCTCTCTTTTTGGGTGGATTTAAAATCTCTCTTCTATTTAAGTAAAATTTTCTCTTCTAGACAAACATGTGCAATTTAGGAATTCCCGAAGTTTTTTTCAACCTTATCTATATATTGTCCTTTATTTTTTTAATCTCGAAAAACCAAAACAGTCTAAAGTCACGTTTCGATTTCCAAAAACAAATTATGACCATTTTCGATGACAATTTCGAGGCATGTGAGTGCAAGTATTCTATCCATTTATCAATAAATTTGAAAATTGCTTGAAACAATTCAATTTTTGTTTCGATTTAATGCATCATTCATTTGTCTACAACAATTCTATGCCACAAATTGGCAGTAGATAACAACAATTTGATGAGGCGAAATAACGTTTGGTTGTTAGTGATTATTTGTTGTTGTTTTTGTGCCGTAGTACGATGTATTTTATTAATTAATCACATTTCAATTCACACCAGCGTGTTGGATGGTTGGCTGGTTGTATGATTGGAGCTTATTGCTGATTGTTGCTTTTGTTGTTGTTGTTAGCCAAGCGATGGTCAGTGCAAAAAATAACAACAACAACAACAACGAGAAATAACAACAGTATGATAAAATCGCCGGTTTTGCTATTGTAGTAATCGAATAGAAGTGATTACAAAAATAAATGTTTTTTATTGTTGGAGTTTTTGTTGTTGTTGTTTTCAGAAGCAGATACGATACATATATTTGTATGCAATTAATTATCATCAATCGTTATATGCACTTAACTATTAGTTGCGGTGCTGTGTAAAACCAGTTTTAGTTTTTCTTCCTTTCTTAGTTGAGGGGGTTCAACTCAGTTGGTAGTAGGTTTTTGTGTTTAATAATAGAATAATTCTTAAGATTTTTTTGAAATAATAATAATAATAATTAGAAGGAATTACATACATAGACACACATAGTATTGTCTACAAGTACTTATTCTAAGAACAAATATAAACAATAGCTTCCTTTGTTTGCATTTTGATCTTCAAAATCTTTGCAAATATAACGGTAGCTTCTAAGGTTTACTTTTCAATGCGGCAGCTATATTTGAATAAATAAGGCGGCAACTATGAAATAAATAAGTAAACAGTTGAAGTTAATAAAGGAAATAGGTTGCTTATTTTAATAATTGAAGGAAATAAATGTATCTATTTTGAAGCTACAGGAGAGATATGTCCCATCTTCAAAACAGATCTTTTGTTAGTGAAAATAATGGAATGTGTGAAATGTAAAGAGAACCTGATGCTTATTTCAAATTTTATAAACGTTTTGGTTATTAAAAAATTTGACCCCTTTGTGGGGGAGGTACCAGAAGGAATGGTCCGATCTCTACCGTTTTTATAACAGATCCTGTGTTGATAGAAATATTCAGATGTACCAAGTCTAAATGGAATCGGATGTTAATTTCGCGTTTTATGAGCTTAATGGATATTCAAAATACCAGAAGGAGAGGACCGATATATTCCATCTTAACAACAGAACTTGGGTTAATAGAATTATTGCGATGTGTGAAAATTGAAGACAATTGGACTCTTAAATCAAATTTTATAAGAGTTGTAATTATTCAACATTTTGACTCTGACCGATATTGTTCATTTTCGCACCTGACGTAGCACTGATAGAAATATTTGGAATTGCAAAGTTGGAGCGAAATCGGATTATCCTTTCTTTTTCTGTTCAAAAAATATTTTTGAAAATTTCGACTTTTTGTGTGTGAGGTACCAGAAGGAATGGATCGATATATTCCATCTTAGCAGCAGACCTCGGGTTGATAAAAATATTGAGATATGTGAAATTTCAAGACAATCGAAAACTGAAGCAATATCGGATTATCTTTTTTCTTTCTGTGCAGAAGGTATATTTTTTGAAAATTTCGACATTTTGTATGGGAGGTACTAAATTTGGAAAAGTTCGGTACATGGTGAAAGGATGAAGTTGGGATTTTAAAATTTTGTATTTTAATCCCCGTTGATTGTAGGTTTGTGATAAAGAGGTGATTTCGAAAATGTGTACTACAAGTGCATGTTGTGTTGGATGAACTGATTGTGCTTGAAATCTGAAATTTGGTATAAGGGTCGCTGCTGATGTTGTAGCATGGAAATATGTCGGTAGTTTTGGAAATTTAGATTACTGATGGTATATGTGTTTGGGATTTGGCGCTGGTTTGGAAATACGTCCGTATAATACGTATGAAAAGCATGAATGGTACGAAATTTGGTATTGGGCCAAGTGTTAGGGCTGGAATCCTGAAATTTGATATTGAGGTATCTGTTGATATGTGAGGTTGGGATATGGAGGAGTTTTTGGAAATATGTACTATAAGCGTACGAAAAGCAATAAATAATACTAAATGTGGCACTGGGTGAAGAGATAGATCTGAAATCCTGAAATGTCATGTTGAGGTCACTGTTGATTCCATGAGTTTATATATGAGACGTTGAAATAGTTTTGGACAAAAAAATTAAACGTGCTTCCATTGTACAATGGTTTTACTAATAATTTATAAGACTTTTTGTTGTAAAAGGTAGACATTTCCTATTATTCTTTCGGAAAAAGAAGAACTTCAATAATATATTAATACTTGAAAGTCTGAAAATTTAGTACAATGTATGATGTTTCGATTGAAAAATTTTGTCTAAGTGAACAAAATTGTGAATTTTGAGTGAGCTGACAAAGTATCGTTGACTTTCTAGTATGCTTATAAAAGAAGACGGAAGGCACCGTCATTAGTAGCCTAAACGAAAACGTAGACCTGTTATATGAGGTGGTATCCATTACGAACTTAAAAACTAAATTTTAAACAATTCCGTTAAAAAAAAATTGTATACAAATCATTAAAATACCGAAATTTTCGATAAGAATATATTTCCATTGAAAAATTAAGCTAAAATTAACAATTTTCAGAATACCAAATATAGGGATGTATGAGCAATTTTCAATCACAGAACTCTAAATATCAAATTTGGCATAATCCCGGTGAAAAATGTGGCTAAGATCATGAAAATACCGCATATCGGTAGGTAGAAGTTGTTTTAAGGGAGTCAAAATATATGTTTATAAAATCTATATTATTAAAAAATTAAAAAAATAAAATAAAAAAAAATTAATTAAAAAATAAAAATAATAAAAAATTAAAATAATTTAATAAAAATTCTACATTTAGTCACATTTATACATATATAATCAGGTATCTATTAATGTTCTACAAAACAAAACTAATATATATATAAAATTCCTAATTTTATTTGCTATGAAATGTGTATTAAATATTATCCATGCGCAACATTTCAATAATTTTCTTTGCCTGACAAAAAATAAAAATCCGTAGGCAAAGGGACCGCAACCGACATTTGATCTGTTTTAATCGGGTGGAATGTTTTTTGTTAGCAATTTTGTATAATTTGTTGTACTAGAATTTGATTGACGGAACGGGTAACGTTAACAACAATGCGATTTTATTTTATAAACGTTTCTATTAAAACGGGGCTTTGTAGCAACACAAAATATAAATATGTGTTTAAAACGCTTTGAAAATGCTCCGATAAAGATACAAACAACAGAACAATATTTATATTCAGACATGCAAATACAGGCGTACAAATAAAACACATTTTTTTGGTATTAATAAATATATCAGCTGAAATTTTTGGAATTTGTGTCATAAAAGGAGAATTAAAAAACAATGAAACCTAAAAAATAGAATTTTAAAAATTAAAGAAAAAATGGATTCCTGAATTATAATTTCAGTTTATTTTAACGACAAAACACAAAAAATAAATTAAATTTGTCTTTTTTGCAACATTTCTGGGAGATAAACTCGCCCCACCATGCCCCCCTTCCAAAATGTCCTTCTTAGCGAAGGATATTTTTTTTGGGGGGGTGGGGGTGGGCTGAGGGATGTTACATTTTATAACCACATTTGTAAATTGTTATGTATGTCAAAGTAATATTTTCGTTCTCTGTAGGCGATATTTATAATATTCTCACCTTATTTTATTTCCAGCAATCATCACAAAGCTTATAAGGACATCACATTCCAGGGAACAAATTTTTTGGCTAAAAATATGTAAACATCAACAGCCGGAGAAAATCCCAAACTACCAAAAATTCTCCACCTCTTCTAAAGAGCCACTACCAAAGTTTGGTTAGAACTGGTTAAAAGGAAACAACACGAAACAGTCTAGCCATGAAATTCCTTAAGGCCACCATCAGTTTAAGTCAAATTCAGGCCATTCTTCGCAAGGATTTTCTTGTGAGATGGCGTTTAAAGGTATGTAAATTTATCCATAAATAATTAAATTTTAATTAATTGTTTTACTTCGTGTTTTTCAGTGGCTAATTTGCTTACAAGTTATATGGCCCATGATCATATTCTTGCTGCCCTATTTGATTCGCCTGAAATTCACTCCCGTCCACAATGATGCCTGCCAATTTCCGACACGACAATTGCCCACAGCTCGCAATACACTGCCCGGGATGTTGTCGTACATTTGTACCATTGAGAACAATTGCAAAAGTACGGATGTCTATGACGAATATGAATATTTGGATAAAGCACCGTAAGTAATGCTAATTGGAATTTATGAATTTTCAAAACATATAATTCATATAAAAACATTTCATTGGGACAATTTTATGGACAAATGTGACTAAAATCATCGAAATACCGAATATCGGGAGGTACTATTATATGGGGGCTACAGGAAACGTTTTCCGATATATGTCATTTTCAATACCATTGTATTGTAATTTTAACAGGCAGACAAACAGGCTGACATCGTTAAATCGACTTAGAATTTTATGCTGATCGTTTATGTGGTCTACGACCAATATTTAGAGGTGCTACAAATAAAATGAAAAACATAATACACACTTCTTTTTAAGGTAGATGATAAAAAAAGAGATTCAATTTTTAGGGCCGAAATTTTGATATATCATTAGGCATACAAACTTCTATATATTTTTCGTATAGACATTTTTTGTCAGAGAAGTAATAGCCTATTCGAATTACATTTCACTTTAATTTTACATTGACGCCGAAATTTTGATATTATATCTGAATTTCATAACAAATACCTGAAAATATTCATTATATTCTCTGTTCCAGAACCTGCAAGAATCGATTAGTTTTGAATATTTTTTCGATACCATAAAGATAAAATCGGTTATTGTAGTAAACATTTTTACATTCTTGCAGTTCTGGAACAGATCAAGCGTTTCCATAAACTATATTTTTTGATCAGCATAAAACTCTTAGTCGACTTAAAGAAATCTGGCTCTCTGTTGGAATCTGTTAGAAGGAAGTTATATGGCGAGATAATGGTAAACTCTTTACGTCCTAGGTCTTTTTGGACGTCCTAGGTCCATTTGGAGCCGATTTAGCGGTGTCCATCAGTTCGTCTGACTGCCTTGTGCTCACGACGAAGTGCATTCTGGGCGTCCAATCTGTGGCCACTATTTCGAGCACTGCTGTCCGTATGTTACAAATAACACGAACAATGCTGGCCTCCAAGGCGTCAATTGTTGCTGGTTTATCAGCATAAGCCAGTGACTTCACGTAGAGGTTTCAAATCGCAAGACCTTGGAGGCCAATTGACAGGTCCACTTCTCGAAATCAACTTATCGCCAAAGTTTGATTTCAATAAATCGATAGTTGAGTTCGCCGTATGGCACGTAGCGCCATCCTGTTGAAACCACATCTCCTCCGGATCAATGTCATCCATATTTTTAAACAAAAAATCATTGATCATGGCGCGGTAACGATCTACATTGACAGTAACGCGAGCTCCGGACTCATTTTTGAAGAATAATGTCACCAGAGTGAAAACCGCACCATACGGTGCATTTTTCTGGGTGTAATGGAGTGTGTAGGGACTCTTGTGGATTGGTCTCACTCCATATGCGGCAATTTTGCTTATTAATAAGCCCGTTAAGCCAAAAATGCGCCTCATCGCTTAACACAATTTTGCGATAAAACAACGGGTCATTTGCCAACTGCTCTAGAGCCTGATTTTCAAAGCAAATTTGGATAATTTCGTAGCGTTGTTGAAGTGTGAGTCTATTCACGATGATTTGTCAGAGTATACTGAAACAAATAAAAAAGTTTCATCAAAGTTTAATTTTTTGTGTTTCTTTTTACAATTTAAAGTTCTATTTAGCTTAAAAAAACACCCTTTTTTTACACTCGAAAATGGGAAATAAATGTTCAATATTGAACAAACTTATCATATCACAATATTTTTAGCTCTTTTAAGTTAATTTTGAAAATGGAACAAATGAGTCCACTCTTTTTCATACAACCGCCACAAAATTTAGAAAAAAAATGCAAAAAGCATATAAATTCAGTAAAGGGAGTACTTGAAATAGTTCTAACTTAGTCAGAGGCGAAAAAGAATAATTTAAAGTTAAACATTTTTGTAAATCATCTATACATCTCATATTAAACGAATAGAATCGGTTTGTAATTACATTCGCATCAGATTTAGATCAGAAGCGTACTGGAAAAACAAGAGTTAATTCAAGTATTACATTTCTTCTTTTTCAAATAAATTAAAAAAATATATTTTTTTCAGTTTAAAGCCAATCATTGATGTAGTCCAAATTGTTATCAACGATGACGGAATGTTCAATGCATTGATCGAATTACCGGAAAAGGCGAATTTTATCAATGCCGTTACAGCGATTGTCACAAATGCACATTTTAGTGAGATACGAAGTAAGAACTGCTAATGTTTAATTAAATATAATATCTAAAAAGTAATTGTGTAAATTTTTAGCAAACATTGAGAAAGTCATTAGCATGGTACCAGATGTGGAGAAAGCACTCAATGGTAGCTTTGATATAAAGAAATTATTTTCAAGTAAGTTTTGATTTGGAAACAACTTCACCAAAAACTCTTATTGGATATTATTATAATTTTAAATTGTAATATCTTTTAGGTCGTGAAACATTTGTCAAGGCTGGCAATTTACTTTGCGGTCACCCGTTCCCCAGTATTGATACAATACCATTGGTTTCGGATATCTTAGAATCGGAAGATTTCAGTAAATCCAATGATGATGAATTGAATGCAATGCCAAGTAAGAAAACATATATTTTTAAATTTGATAATTCTGTGCAAAAAAAAAAAAAAAAAAAAAAAAAAAAAATACAGAAAATAACTCAATAGACTATGAAAGAAGCGCTAAAAATAGAAACCACGTGTATCGGTGTCTTAAAAATTATTATACCCTACACCACATTGTGGTAAGGGTATTATGTCTTTGTGCATTTGTTAGTAACAAGGAGAAGGAAGCAAGATAGACCCATACTTACTTTTGAGGATCTTCATAGAATCACTTTCTGAGTCGATTTATGCATGTCAGTCCGTCCATGTATTCTTGTGAAAAAAATACAGGTCGCATATATTATCCGATTGAGATGAAGTTGTGCAAATAATATTTGTTTGGCCCAAGGACGAATCTTACTGAAATTGGTGATCGTCGGAATAGATTTAGATATAGCCCCTATATATATCTTCAACTGATTTCGGGTTAATTGTGAGCCAAATGTCCAATGTCCTAATGACCTGAATTTTGGTACATCTGACCAAATTTAGTCTAGAAGCAAGTACATTAAATTTGGAGAAAATCGGTTCAGTTATAGCTATAGCTCCCATATATATCTTTTATCCGATTTAGGGTTTTAAGTCCCTCACATGTCTAATATGCACTCCACAACAATGATATTTGGTACCAAGTGCCAAATACATCCCCGAAATACCTCTGCCAAATTTTATCAAGATTGGTTGAGAATTTTAGTACATCCGACTGAATTCAGTCCAGAAGCAAGTACATCAAACTTGGAGAAAATCGGTACAGATATAGCTTTATCTCCCATATATATGTTTCATCCGATTTGGTGTTTAAGTCCCTCACATTCGTAAGATGCACTCCACAAGAATGATATTTGGGACCAGATATCTTATAGAGCTCGGAAATACCTTTGTCAATTTTTATCGAGATCGGCTAAGATTTGGATATAGCTCCCATATGTATTTTTAACCCGATTTCAGATTTATTGTGGTTTTCATTTTGTGGAACTCGGCTCCGATATATATTTTTTGGATATAACCCTTCCCGAAGTTATATCATGCACTCTATAGCAATGTTATTTGGTTTAAAAGATTAAAATGTCTCCGTAAAATTTAGTGAAACTCGACTCAGAATTGGATATGCCTCCCATAGTTCCCTCTGAAAGCAAACTATAACTGCTCTAAAGGCTGATAGGTGGTACTGGAGCTCTTTTAAAAATGTATGGTGGTGTAGGGTTCATATAGTCGGCCCCACCTGACAAATAATTTTGTTTTTGCTACGACCACATTTAATGGGAGACTTCAACTTAATTTCAAGAAAGGACCAAAAAGACCCCTGAGGTTGAATCGCTTGAGGGTTAACATTTTCAATCAAAATAGTCCCCGTATTTTTATCTGCAATATTTCTGAAGACTCTACAGTGGTGGCCATATCATATGCAACTTAGATTCATCTACGTTAAAAGGCTATATAAATTTGTAAATTTCACAACGAAGTATATAAAGATGGTTTAATTATAGTCACTACTTTCATACGATTTCAAATTATTATCAAAATGTGCAGCTTTTGTTTATATCTCTATGTTCACAGGTATTTTGTTGACAAATATGAAATTTGGTGTGGTCAAAACATATGCAACTTTATATATTTGGTTTAAATAACGGCATTTTTACAATTTCCTTTGTTCTATTGTTCTTCTTATTATTATCTAGAGACACTGCGTAAAGAGATTTAAAGCTACCTTCACATTTTTATTGCGTTGTTTTTTCACAAAGCTAAAACAGAGTTTGTTCAAAAATGGCACGCGATAAATTTGGATTTGAGCTCAGACAACGAATTGTGACTGCGTATCCTTCTGGATTATCACAGAAATGTATTGCCGAGAAATATACCGTTCATAAAAGCTCCATATCGCGCATCATTAATAATTACAAAAAAAATTCACAAGTCTCTGTTATACACCGTGGTGGTCGAAATCGAAAAACAAGCGATCGGACGGACAAATTAATAATCAGACACGTGAAAAAAGACCCATTTATATCTTCCTCTAAGATAGTGGAAAGATTTCAGTTGCCAGTTTCTGCTCGCACCATCCGTAGAAGACTTTTACAAGCCTCCCTCTGCGCAAGACGTCCTGCAAAAAAACCACTGATATCGAAGCGAAACCAGAAGAAGCGTTTGGAATTAGCTAAAGCTCATATAAATTGGACAGAGAGTAAATGGAGAACTATATTATTTAGTGATGAGTCCAAATTTAACATAATTGGTAGCGATGGCATGTGCTATGTAAGGCGACCAGAAGGAAAACGACTCGAAGCACGTTACTGTAAAAAAACGGTCAAGCATGGGGGGGGGCAATATAATGGTGTGGGGTTGTTTTTCTGGTGCCGGAGTTGGCCCACTGCACAGAATTGTTGGTATTATGGATAGATTTATGTATAAAGACATATTGCAAAGGGTAATGCTCCCATACGCAGAATATAATATGTCATTGCGGTGGGTCTTTCAACAGGACAACGACCCCAAACACGCTTCGAAGGTGGTCAAATCGTGGTTTGCCGATAATAGAGTTGCGGTGATGGAATGGCCACCCCAATCCCCAGATTTAAACCCAATAGAGAATCTGTGGAAAATCGTAAACAAAAAAAATTGATCGAGAAAATTGTACAAGTTTAGATTTTTTATTTTGCCGGCTGGAAGATGCCTGGAAATCAATCCCAAAAAGCGTCATTGACAATCTTATAGCGTCAATGCCTCGAAGATGTCAGGCTGTAATCGACAACAACGGATTTGCAACAAAATATTAATTTTATTTGCACTTTACTGAGCTCGATTTAATTAGTTGCATATGTTTTGGCCACTTAATAATAAGACTGAATATCTTTTTCTAATTTTTTTTATAAATGAATTGAATATCTATGGAGTATATGTTTTTTTTCTTAAACTACAAGCAATAAAAAATAATATTTAAAAAAATAATTGCATAATTTTGTTTTCAGAAAAATTTTTCACGGTTTTTGGTAAAGGTTAGATTTCAGTTGCATATGATATGGCCACCACTGTATATACTATAAACCAACGGTTTCTAAGGGATCTTACTCCGAAAATCGAAAAGTGTAGATGAGGGGGAAACTTATCCCTTCTATTTAGATAACTTTGCGATGTAAGCTTTCAGAACTCCGAGACACGTGTCTGCAGGTGCTCAGTGTTATATTCCACGTACATACTTATTTTCTGTCTTATCCATTTTTACCATGTCACTAATTATTTTTCTCCAACCCAACAGCACCTTATTGTAAAAAACTCTATTTGGATGTGACCAGCTCGAATTATGGCAAAATAACCTGGGATGTAGTGAAGCCAATTATTCAGGGCAAAATTCTCTTTGCCCCAAATACTGAGGATACCAATTCAATTATGGCCATGGTAAGTGGGCTAATGTTAGATTACATTTTTCTATTCAAATTTTTCATTTTATTTCCATTTCCAGTCCAATTCCACATTTGAAGAATTCAATCGTTTGAAAATGTTGTCCGTCTCCTTTCAACAAATACTCACCAAACTGAAACAGCCGGGTAGCTTTCAAGAAGCCTTCGATTCTCTTTTGGCCTTGGCAAAATCTCCCTTCGTTCGCAAGTTGATTGGTGATGAGTTCGACTTGGATGAAGTTGAAAATGTTGTCAATCGCATACGTACCGATCCTGTTGTCTATGATGTCATAAATACCGTTAAGAACCTATTGGAATGCCTCTCAGTGGATCGTTTTGTTGCCTTCGATACGGAAGATGAGCTGAGACGTCATGCTTTCGATTTGAATCAACGCAGATTATTCTATGCCGCAATTTATTTCAACCAAACGGAGACGGAAAATGTTTCCTATAAACTGCACATGGATACCCAGAATACCCAGCCAACAATTGAGAATAGGAATCGTTTCTGGTTCCCAGGGCCAGGGGGTTCAATGTTGCTTGATTTGAAATATCATCGAGGTTTTGTGCAGATTAAACACTCCATTGATATGGCCATAATAAAGCATAAAAAGGAAAAACTACAACAGCTGGGAATTTTGGCCAAACCCACACCACCTCCGCCAAGTGGACCGCTTTTCAATGTGGAAATTGAAACCGGTGATGAAGAGGAAGACGAGGACGAAGATGATGAGGAGGAGGAAGATGAATGGTTTACAAATTCAAACAATACCAAAAATGCCAATTCGACAGCGGCTCCCAATAAGGAAATGATATCTTCGATTGTTTCGGGCATTCCAATGGATGCAACCACAATTTTACCCAACACGGAGGACACAATGGGCGAAACAACCACAGAATCCATGGATTCCGAAGCCACTACAATACTCCCCAACTTTTCAAATGATTTGTCGCAAAACCTAGGCGAGGGGGATGTTTTAAAACGTCAAAAACGCCAAGGATTGGCAGATTTGTTCTCAAGTTTTGGTTCCCAAAATCAAGACGTTAATAATTTCGAAATTGATAATTTGAAATATTTTACCAAACAATTTCCCTATCCGGAATACACCAGGGATGAGTAAGTTTTCTGGAATCTTAAAATTAGCCATTTGTAACCAGATTTAATTTTCAGTTTCAAAACAGGTCTCTATCTGGCCCAAGCTATTCAGTTGGCCTTCTTCATTGGTTTAGTGGCCGAAATTGCAGCCAGTGTTCGTCATTTAATTTGGATGAGAGAATCTAAGAATTCAATGGTAAATACTGAAATAATTTTTTTCATCATAATTTCCGTTTTCTTTCTTTTTTCCTTGAAGGCATGATTTTCGATAGAAAATTTTGTCTCCACACCATAGGAGACATGATTTTTTATGGAAAATTTTTCCTCCACACCCTTACAGACATGATTTTCGATAGAAAGTATTGTCTCCCCACCTTTGGAGACATATTCGATAGAAAATTTTGTCTCCATAGCCTTGGAAACATGATTTTCAATAGAAAATTTTGTCTCCACACGCTTAGAGACATGATTTTCAATAGAAAATTTTGTCTCCACACCCTTGGAGACATGATTTTCAATAGAAAATTTTGTCTCCACACCCTTGGAGACATGATTTTCAATAGAAAATTTTGTCTCCACACCCTTGGAGACATGATTTTCAATAGAAAATTTTGTCTCCACACCCTTGGAGACATGATTTTCAATAGAAAATTTTGTCTCCACACCCTTGGAGACATGATTTTCAATAGAAAATTTTGTCTCCACACCCTTGGAGACATGATTTTCAATAGAAAATTTTGTCTCCACACCCTTGGAGACATGATTTTCAATAGAAAATTTTGTCTCCACACCCTTGGAGACATGATTTTCAATAGAAAATTTTGTCTCCACACCCTTGGAGACATGATTTTCAATAGAAAATTTTGTCTCCACACCCTTGGAGACATGATTTTCAATAGAAAATTTTGTCTCCACACCCTTGGAGACATGATTTTCAATAGAAAATTTTGTCTCCACACCCTTGGAGACATGATTTTCAATAGAAAATTTTGTCTCCACACCCTTGGAGACATGATTTTCAATAGAAAATTTTGTCTCCACACCCTTGGAGACATGATTTTCAATAGAAAATTTTGTCTCCACACCCTTGGAGACATGATTTTCAATAGAAAATTTTGTCTCCACACCCTTGGAGACATGATTTTCAATAGAAAATTTTGTCTCCACACCCTTGGAGACATGATTTTCAATAGAAAATTTTGTCTCCACACCCTTGGAGACATGATTTTCAATAGAAAATTTTGTCTCCACACCCTTGGAGACATGATTTTCAATAGAAAATTTTGTCTCCACACCCTTGGAGACATGATTTTCAATAGAAAATTTTGTCTCCACACCCTTGGAGACATGATTTTCAATAGAGAATTTGTCTCCACACCCTTGGAGACATGATTTTCAATAGAAAATTTTGTCTCCACACCCTTGGAGACATGCTTTTCAATAGAGAATTTTGTCTCCACACCCTTGGAGACATGATTTTCAATAGAAAATTTTGTCTCCACACCCTTGGAGACATGATTTTCAATAGAAAATTTTGTCTCCACACCCTTGGAGACATGATTTTCAATAGAAAATTTTGTCTCCACACCCTTGGAGACTTGATTTTCAATAGAAAATTTTGTCTCCACACCCTTGGAGACATGATTTTCAATAGAAAATTTTGTCTCCACACCCTTGGAGACATGATTTTCTAGAAAATTTTGTCTCCACACCCTTGGAGACATGCTTTTCAATAGAGAATTTTGTCTCCACACCCATGGAGACATGATTTTCGATAGAAAATTTTGTCTCCACACCCATGGAGACATGATTTTCGATAGAAAATTTTGTCTCCACACCCATGGAGACATGATTTTCCATAGAAAATTTTGTCTCCACACCCATGGAGACATGATTTTCGATAGAAAATTTTGTCTCCACACTCATGTGGCATGATTTTCGATAGAAAATTTTGTCTCCAGAACCTTGGAGAAATGATTTTCGATAGAAAATTTTGTCTCCACACCCATGGAGACATGATTTTCGATAGAAAATTTTGTCTCCACACCCATGGAGACATGATTTTCGATAGAAAATTTTGTCTCCACACCCATGGAGACATGATTTTCGATAGAAAATTTTGTCTCCACACCCATGGAGACATGATTTTCCATAGAAAATTTTGTCTCCACACCCATGGAGACATGATTTTCGATAGAAAATTTTGTCTCCACACTCATGTGGCATGATTTTCGATAGAAAATTTTGTCTCCAGAACCTTGGAGAAATGATTTTTGATAGAAAATGTTATCTCCACAGTCTTGGAGATTTTTTTTTTGTCTCTATATCCATGGAGATATGATATTCGACAGAAAATTTTGTCTCCACACACTTGGAGACATGATTCTTAATAGTAAATTATTTGTTTCCATATCTTTGGAGGCATTAGTTTGTGCAGCAACTTCTGTTCTCCATCCTTTGGAAAATCCATTTTCCCGATAAATTTAAATTAAAACATTGGGTTCCTTGCAGATTATGCGCGCCATGGGCCTTAAATCCTGTTCCGAACTGACCTCCTGGTGTATTGTGACATTTTTGGAAATGCTTTTCATTTTCATACTGGTCTCAATAATTCTATACAGTGGCGGAATGGTAGTCTACACGAGGTGGCTTTTTGTCATGATCTATATTTGCTTGTTCGGAGCTAGCTTGATATCTTTTTGGTAAGGAGATGGAATAGCTGGAAATAATTGATATTATAATTTCAATATTTTTATTTTAGTTACATGTGTTCGACATTTTTCAATAGTGCCACTATTGGAGCTGTGGCCACAACAGTTCTCTTCTTCATTAGTTTTTGTCCGTACATAATTGTTTTGTTATTTGATGCCCAATTGAATTCTTTGCAAAATTTCCTCATTAATCTCTCATTTACTACGGCCTTCTCCCACGGCTGGAGTCATATAATGCGCATGGAGCTACAGGAAGTGGGTTTAAGTTTCGAAGCCGTTTTTCGCGAAGGGTTAAGAGGAGAATATGGTTTTTCGTTTTTCATGTTGATATTGGATTTGATCCTATATGCAGTTATTGGATACATACACCAGAGATTTAAGGATGGTAAGGGATAAGCAACGCATATAAATACACATATACACTCACAACATTTTCTCACTTTCGTCACTTTATTTCAGACGACAACCGTTTCGTTGAGGTCCAAAGAGAAGAACTCGATTCCACTGTGGGAGCAACGCTCACTAATGTTACCAAAGTTTATGGTGAGAATAAACATGCCGTTAGCGATATCTCGATTTCATTCTTCAGGGATAAGGTAACATGTCTCCTGGGCAGAAATGGTGCCGGAAAGAGTACAATTATGTGAGTACTGCTATTTGACAAATGGAATCTTGAAAATTATTGCCCTTTCTCTCTCTCTCTTTGCAGAAAAATGCTAACAGGCCAGGTCGTACAAACAACTGGAAGAGTTATTCTGTCCCAGGCTATGTCTCGCGGCAAAGAATATGACAAAGTTGGTGTTTGTGCCCAGGACAATATTCTGATACCCAATTTAACTGCCCGTGAACATTTGGAGCTGTATGCCAAAATCAAGCTGAAGAGAAACTATCAATCTGAAGTTGAAAAGACATTGAAAGATTTGAACTTTGGCAAACATGAAAACTATCAAGCGAGTCAATTGTCGGGTGGCTACAAGAGACGTTTGTGTGTGGCCATTTCATTTATTGGTAAGAAGATGGAGAGGCCATCCTTTTGTAAGAGTGTCTCTATTGAGAGATTTTCGTATAGAAAATTTCTCTCCATTGAGAGAGATTTTCGTATAGAAAATTTCTCTCCATTGAGAGAGATTTTCGTATAGAAAATTTCTCTCCATTGAGAGAGATTTTCGTATAGAAAATTTCTCTCCATTGAGAGATTTTCGTATAGAAAATTTCTCTCCATTGAGAGATTTTCGTATAGAAAATTTCTCTCCATTGAGAGAGATTTTCGTATAGAAAATTTCTCTCCATTGAGAGAGATTTTCGTATAGAAAATTTCTCTCCATTGAGAGAGATTTTCGTATAGAAAATTTCTCTCCATTGAGAGAGATTTTCGTATAGAAAATTTCTCTCCATTGAGAGAGATTTTCGTATAGAAAATTTCTCTCCATTGAGAGAGAATTTCGTATAGAAAATGTCTCTCCATTGAGAGAGATTTTCGTATAGAAAATTTCTCTCCATTGAGAGAGATTTTCGTATAGAAAATGTCTCTCCATTGAGAGAGATTTTCGTATAGAAAATTTCTCTCCATTGAGAGAGATTTTCGTATAGAAAATGTCTCTCCATTGAGAGAGATTTTCGTATAGAAAATTTCTCTCCATTGAGAGAGATTTTCGTATAGAAAATTTCTCTCCATTGAGAGAGATTTTCGTACAGAAAATTTCTCTCCATTGAGAGAGATTTTCGGTTTGGAAATTTCTCTCCATTGAGAGAGATTTTCGGTTTGGAAATTTCTCTCCATTGAGAGAGATTTTCGATTTGGAAATTTCTCTCCATTGAGAGAGATTTTCGGTTTGGAAATTTCTCTCCATTGAGAGAGATTTTCGGTTTGGAAATTTCTCTCCATTGAGAGAGATTTTCGGTTTGGAAATTTCACCCCATTGAAAAAGATTTTCGTAGAGAAAATTTTGCCAATGGAGACAATTTTTCTTATTTCCAAGAAGCTCCTTTATCCTTCTAATTCTCATCTTCTTTCTTTTAGGATCACCCAACGTTGTCATTTTGGATGAGCCCTGCAATGGTGTTGACAACAAAGCCCGCAAGGATATCTGGGATCTGATTGAACGTCTGCGCAAGGGAAGAGCTGTGATTTTTGCCACACATTTTCTGGATGAAGCGGAATATCTTAGCGATATAATTGTGATAATGAAAAATGTAAGTATTTTGACCACCACTGTCCAAACGGCAAATAGCAGGACTCACTTCCTTCCTCTTCATTTCCAGGGTAAAATTATTGCCAAACACAATCCGGAGACGCTGAAAAATCACTGTACCTCATTCTATGAGGTTAGCATGAATAGCTGTGACAGTCAAACTTCCGATATGGTCGTCGACAAGGCCAACAAACTGTTGGCCAACTTTAGACAATTGGATAAATCATCAGAGGCGGATTTGAGTTTACGCGTTTCCTATGATCAAGTAAATCACAACTCTTCGGAATACTTATCCTATCTGGAGCAGTTGCAGGGTGATGGTCGTATCAATGATTTGTGCATTGAATCGGAAAATTTGGAACATGTCTTCAAGAATCTCGATAAGAAACATAGCAATGGTGTGGTGTCGTCAGGACATTATAACAACAATGGCCACCCATCTGGGGATTTGATGAAAAATATAAAACTGAAGCGGGAACTGGGTTGGAATATGGTGAGCAATGACGCCTTGTCAAGGTGGGCTGCCATACGCCAGCTATTCTGGAAACGTTTGGTTCACTTTAGTCGCAACTATCGTATGTTGGTGTGTGTTATTGTATTGCCGTCTATATTTGAGATACTTGCCATGTGGTTTGTCTCCCAGCGTTTGGAAGATGATTTCGATAAAACGATAAAATTGTCTCGAGAATTGTATCCCAGGACTACTCAATTTATGAGCATGGAGATACCCCTGAATTTTACAACGGATGTTTATGGTCGTTTAAAGGAAAATTGCCCAGCAGGGGCGGAGTTGACTTGTAAAGAATTTGCCAATAGTCAAAAATCCTTCTATTGGGTCCTCAAGACTCTCAATGAATATCAGGAGAAACGTTATGGCGGCTACACCTTCAATGAGTCCAAGTCGATGGTGTGGTACAACAATAAAGGTTATCACTCCATGCTGGCATGGTTGAATGACATGAACTCGCACATGTTGCAGGTTGAGACAAATAACACGAATTACAAGATTTCGGCGTATAATGAGCCATGGGAATTAGGTTTCCAGGAGTTTAGTACGACATCCATGTGAGTAATGAGATTTTTCAAAATTTGTTTCTTTGTAATATAACTCCCTGTCTCCCTCTACCTCTCTTTTTAGTTTACGTCAAGCCGGTGACTCATGTTTGGCATTTATTCTTCTCATTGCCTTTTCCATGATTGTGGCAGTGGCCTCCGTATATCTAGTCAATGAACGTGTCAAAGGTGAAAAGTTACAGCAGAGATTGTGTGGCGTTGATGCGGTTACCTATTGGGCGGTGGCCTTTATATGGGATTTCATGGTAAGGCTTCTTAAGGGATTTCATTATTTGGAATGAAGTTTTTGAATTTTTTAAATTTCAGATCCTAATATTGGGTATTCTGGTTTGCTGTTCTGTCATCCTGGCCTTTGACATGCCTGTCTTTACGGACCGCCAACAGCTGTGGGGCATCATTGTACTGGGATTATTCTTTGGGTGAGTTTAGATTGTTGGAAGTGGGCTATCAGAGTTTTAATCGTGGAATTTTTAAAAAATATTTTTTGACAGAACATTAGAGCCATAAGCGTGGATTTTTAAAGAATGTTTTTTTTGAGGGACCATAAGAGCCATAAACGTGGATTTTTCAAAGAATATTTTTTGAAGGACCATTAGAGCTATAAGCGTGGATTTTTTAAAGAATATTTTCTGAGGGACCATTAGAGCTATAAGCGTAGATTTTTTAAAGAATATTTTTTGAGGGATCATTGGAGCTATAAGCATGGTTTTTTAAAGAATGTTTTTTTTTTGAGGGACCATAAGAGTCATAAGCGTGGATTTTTTAAAGAATATTTTTTGAAGAACCATAAGAGTCATAAACGTGGAATTTTTAAAGAATATTTTGTGAGGGGCCATAAGAGCCATAAGCGTGGATTTTTTAAAGAATATTTTTTGAGGGACCATTAGAGCTATAAGCGTGGATTTTTTAAAGAATATTTTTTGAGGGACCATTAGAGCTATAAGCGTGGATTTTTTAAAAAATATTTTTTGAGGGACCATTAGACATATAAGCGTGGATTTTTTAAAGAATATTTTTTGAAGAACCATAAGAGTCATAAACGTGGAATTTTTAAAGAATATTTTGTGAGGGGCCATAAGAGCCATAAGCGTGGATTTTTTAAAGAATATTTTTTGAGGGACCATTAGAGCTATAAGCGTGGATTTTTTAAAGAATATTTTTTGAGGGACCATTAGAGCTATAAGCGTGGATTTTTTAAAAAATATTTTTTGAGGGACCATTAGACATATAAGCGTGGATTTTTTAAAGAATATTTTTTGAGGGACCATTAGAGCTATAAGCGTGGATTTTTTAAAGAATATTTTTTGAGGTGTCATAAGAGCCATAAGCGTGGTTTTTTTAAAGAATTTTAATATCGTTCAATGACTCATCAAGGGCCATCTATATTTCAATTATTGGTTATTTCACTTATAACTAAATTACACGAAAAATGGAAGCTTCAATGGAATTTTTAAACTAATTAATTTATATTTTTCCATTTCAGCTTCGCCTGCATTCCGGGGGTGCATGTCTTCGAGAAATGCTTCAACGATGCGAGTGTCTCAATTGTGGGAATCTTCATAATCAATGTTATTATACCATTATTCACCCTGTCCACGGTGGTGCTGTTGGGCGTTGTTGGAGATTCGCCCATATGGGATGAGTGGCGTCATTTCCTCAATCATCGACTTTTCATTATTTTCCCACAACATGCGCTAGCTGATGGCCTGCTGGAATTGTGTAAAAATTATATGGTAGCTCTAACTTTCCGACGTTTCGACATTGATTCCTATAAGAATCCGGTGAATAGTGATTTGCTGCAAGCCCACTTTACCTCATTATTTATTGTGGGTGTGTTCTTTTTGGTTCTGAATGTGTTGCTGGAAAGTGGCCTCCTAGGTGATTGGAAGGAGATGCTAATGGATCATTTGGAATTTTTGGGTCTGCAAAAGGCGAAACAGTTCGATGAACTCAAAGTTATTTCCATACAAAATTCCCTAAAACGTAACGATAAGAACGCCGTTAGTGCTCTCAAGGTGGACAATTTAAGTAAGAAGTATGGTGGACGTGGCCACTATGCTGTGTCGAATGTCACCTTTGCCGTTAGCCATGGCGAATGTTTTGGTTTGTTGGGTAAAAATGGTGCTGGCAAGTCGACAATTTTCAAAATGCTCTCCGGACAGTTGAGACCAACTTCGGGACGTATTGTCTATGAGAATGCAAGTGGAAACTTATTTTATTTATTTATTATTTATTTGTCATAAAAATAATCGAAAATAATTAAATTTCATTCCCTTTTAGCCGGAAATATCATATTGTCCTCAAACAAATACCCTGGATGATTTGTTAACCGTACGAGAATGCATTGAATTTTATGGTCATCTGAGGCGCATTACTGATTTGCCGAAGGTAAGTTTTATTTGAGCACATATTTGGGAATATACGGTACATAATTAAATAATAAAAGATTTCTTAAATGTTCATTAAGTGAACTTGATAAAATTACCGTATGGTCCCTACAAAAACATTTTCTAAAGAAGATTCTTAATTGAAAAATCATTGAAACTTATAAGAGTTGTAGTCCTTGAAAAAATTCTTAAATATTTTAGGACATTGATATTCTTTGAAACTTTTTTTTTTCTTAAAAACTTTTTTTTTTAAAAACTACGATTCTTATCGTTCTTGTATTTTTTTCTCATCGGGCTTTGTATACCAACTAACATTGCTATAGAGTAATATAATCACTTCGAAAATGATTATATTAAAAAAATATATATCGGAGCCGAGTTCCGCCAAATGGAAACGTACGTTCGGAAATTCATTCCATTTGGTTTGATAATAGCCATTATTTGCCCAATAAACCTGAAATCGATTTAAGGATATATATTGGAGCTATGTCCATATCTTAGCCGATCTCGATAAAATTTGACAAATGTATTTCCGAGTTCTATAAGATGTCTGGTACCAAATATCATTGTTGTCGAATACATATTACGAATGTGAGGGATTTACAGGGTGAAATGAAAAAAATGCAACCAACTTCAGACTGCTGTTATTTATAAGTCACTCGTCCGAGTGTTTAAAAGCGTACCAAACCATTTTGGTAGGAATTTTTCAGAAAAAAAGTTATTGGTGATGGAATTCAAGCGTGATAGTGTGATTTCTTTATACTTGGCTGGAAAGCCACAAGTGGCTATCGTTAGAGCACTCCAGCATTTAAATGTGAATAAATCTTTTGTGTCTCGTACCATCGCTCGTAACCGTGATACTGGTAGCGTAGCCCGACGTCAAGGAAGTGGACGGAAGAGAACAGCAACATCAAAAGAAATGGTTCGAAAAGTAAAGAATTGACTTGATCGAAACTCGCGTCGCAGTGACCGAAAAATGGCTCACGAGCTGAACATATCGCAATATTCCATTCGGCAAATATTTAAAAATGATCTCGGGGTAAAGCCATTGAAATTCCAAAAAGTGCAAGAACTTACACCGGAACAGAAAAAAATAAAGCTAAAGAGAGTAGAGCTAAAGAATTGCTTCGCTTGGCCGAAAGTGGTGAACTGTCGAATTTGGTTTTCTCCGATGAAGTCGAAAGTGGTGAACTGCCGAATTTGGTTTTCTTCGATGAAAAAACATTCGTTGTCCAGCAGTTTGTAAACAAACGAAATGATCGTGTTTAATCGGCAAAGAGGTCAGCTGAAAATGTGTTCCTTCGGTTGGCCACCATAACTCAAGCGCAGGCCATGGTGATGGTGTGGGCCACCTTAACAGCCGATGGTCGCTCTCCGTTCGTATTAATCGACCGTGGCATCAGAATAATGCCTCAGCACCATCGCACTCGGCACGCGAACCCAAGAATGGTTACAAAATAAGGTTCCTCGCTTCATTCCCAGCGCACAATGGCCACCAAAATCTCCGGATACCAATCCGTTGGACTATTGTGTCTGGAGTATTTTGGAAAGCAAGCTTGGCACTAAAAAATACCAAAAAGTCGATCACCTCAAGCAAGCGCTTCGCCGGAAATGGGCCAAAATACCGCAGAGCAACATTCGCGCCGCGTGTGAATTCGAACAAATCTAAACTTATTCTAAAATTTTATGCTATATCCGACTTGTTTTGCTTTCATTCAATAAAATTAAAAAAAGGAAAGATTATGGCGTTTGACTTTGTAGCAGTTTTTATACCCTACACCACAAGGTGGTCAGGGTATTATGTCTTTGTGCATTTGTTTGTAACAGGCAGAAGGAAACGAGATAGACCCATAGTTCCTCTTGATGATCTGCATAGAATCAAATTCTGAGTCGATTTATGCATGTCCGTCCGTCCGTCAGTCTGTCCATGTATTTTTGTAAACAAAGTACAGGTCGAATTTATTGCCCGATCCAGATGAAATTTTGCACAGATCATTTGTTTGGCTCAAGGACGAACCCTATTGAAATTGGAGATAATCGGTAAAAAATTAGATATAGCTCCCATATATATTTCGTCCGATTTTCCTTTTATTGTGCACCAAACGTGTAATATAAGCCCGAATTGTATGGAATTTTGCATATACACCCATATTAGGCCTGAAAATATGTGTGACAAATTTGATCGAAATCGGTTCAGATATAGCTATAGGTCCCATATATATTGTTCATCCGATTTGTTATTTTTGTCCAAATCAAATACAGCTCAGAAATACATTTGCTAAATTTTATCGAGATCGGTTCAGATTTGGATATAGCTCCCATACATAACTTCGTCCGATTTACCTTTTATTGTGCACCAAACGTCTAATATTTGTCCAAATGGGATGAAATTTGGCGCTTACGACCGAATTGAGTCTAGAAGCTAGTATGTCAAATTTGGTGAAGATCGGTTCAGATATAGCTATAGCTTCCATATATATACTTCATCCGATTTGTTATATTTGTTACCCACAACCGTAATATGCACTCCGTAACAACGATATTCAGAAAAATATATCAAATACAGATCAGAAATGTCTTTGCCAAATTTTATCGAGATCGGTTCAGATTTGCATAAAGCTCCCATATATATCTTTATCCGATTTCAAATTTATTGTGCACCAAATGGGCAATACAATTCCGAATTTAAAATATGCAAATGCTTCGGCATATTTAGTCCTTTGAACTTTAAGTTATAATTATAATCATAGCGTGTATGACTGAATTCTCCCATAAAAACTTTTAATTGTTATGTGGAGCTCAACTAAATTAGCAAAGTGGTGTAGGGTATCATAAAGTCGGCCCCGCCCGACTTTAAGACTTTCTTTACTGGTTTTTAATCTCATTTTGTACTTAAAAAATAGTTTTTGAAATTTCCGATTCTGATAGCCCTTGAAAAAATATGTTAAAAAAAAATAAAGTAAAAAAATATTAAAATCTTTCTCTTCTCTCCTTATAGCTCGTTAATAGCATACTTGAATCATTCCAATTGGAGGCATATCGCGATGTTCTTGTGAAAAATCTCAGTGGTGGTAATCGTCGTAAATTAACTGTGGCCACGTCGTGTTGTGGTCGCACCTCGGTGGTGCTCATGGATGAGCCGACAAGTGATATGGATCCTGTAACGCGAGCCTTTGTCTATCGCACCATTGATGATTTATTGGCCGAAAAGAGAGCAATTGTTTTAACATCACATTCGATATCTGAGATTGATCAAATTTGTCATCGCATTGCTGTCTTGAAGGATGGCCAAATGTTGACGTGCAGCAGTCCGGAAAGTTTGAAGGCACAATATGGTGGTTATTACAATGTTACCGTCTATTGTGATCAGGATAAGAAAAATGCATTGGAAAAGGTAAGGGAAAAAGGGGAATTTCATTTGTTTTTATTTATCTAAAAGAAATATTTACTTTTTAGGAAATACGCCGCAAATTCCCTCTGGGCAAAGATATGCAGGTCTATGCTCATTCCATTAAGTTTAGCATAAAAATTGAGAATCCCAGCCGGGAGGGTGACAAAGAGGTAAGCAAGAATTTTATTTTAATTTTCTTTGCAATATCAATAATTGTTTATTTAATTTATTTGCAGAATGGCATCGATTTACCCGATAATTTGAAAATCCCTGAAAACGACACAACTACCTCAAAGCTGGCCATGAATGGTGGTCACACCCTGTCACAACTGTTCTATGATTTGAGTAATTTATCCCAACAAATATCGGGATGTGTGCGCTATGCCGTCAACAAGTGTAAATTGGATGCGGTGTTTGAGAGGATACTCGACAAAAGTGAACCGAGTGACTTAAGACGTGGCTCGGTTTACAATGGAATCGACAACAACACTGCTGCCGCCATGGGTGGTAGTCCATCAACGGGTTATGTCCACAATGGTTATGTTGAAACGGAAACATGAACATGAATGAATGAAGGAATGCATGACTTTGTATCCAAGAAGTTGAAACAAACATCAGGCTGTGCCTTTTATTTTTTAGTTTAAAAAATATTTTAACTCTCGAATATCCTCTTAGGGTTTGTAATATTTTTTTCGTTTTTAGAGAGCAATGCTCCAAGAAACTTTACTATTGCTTTATCTGTATATGTGTGTGAATGTATGCTGTATTTATTATTTTAAAATTATATGTTTAAATTATAAAACATTATGCTAAAGGTGTTTTTCAGGGATTTTTCGAAAATCCAGGTTTTCTCAAAGGGATTTAATTTTATTTTTTTTATCAAATAGCTCAATGTTTTATATTATTTTGTATAGATGAATAAAAGTCCTTTTGTCTATAAGTAGAATATGTTATTGTCTTCTATGTTTGAACTTCTTATGGATCGTCTTTTTTCTGCAATTTTTAAATCAAGATGTCTTGAATAAAATTGCTTCTTTAGGTCTTCTGTCCTGTATTTTCCTGTGATTCATTATTTTCTTCGGAAACTCTAAATAAAAACCCCTTTCAGGTGACTTGAGATTCATGGTATAAAAAAATTGAGTTTATTTATATTTTATAGGTGTTCTGTTTAATTTCTGATATATATTTTTTCATTTTTCCTCTGTTCAAAAATTGTGAATTGGTGAATTTGTAATTGTATTTATCTTGTCTCTACTCTAGAAAAATTCTCTTCCCAAGATTCTTTTTAGTTGGTTAGGACGTTTCATGTTAAAATTGCTTGTGTACGGAGGACTAAAAGAGCTAAGCTTTCTAACATAAAAGTCCACTACGTGATTAAACACATTTTTAGTGTGTGTTGTTTTTAAGAAAAGTTATAAGTTATTAAATATAAATTTCCGGGACTTAAGCTTTTCTTTCCCCCTCATCCTGTAAATGTGTACTTATGTCATTTTGTAAATTTGACTTAATAATTTTTAAGATAAATTCCATTAAATATGTGAATATGTATGTAGAAAATATTATTTTTAAATACACGAAAAATAAATCGAAAGACATTGAGTATTATGATACATGATACATTAATTTCGGTCGTGCCGAACTTCTAATACCCTTCACCATTAGGTAAAGATAGTATTTTTATTCAAAAGTATTCAGATTCAAACGTGCTCCATTTTAAACTACAAAATCCAGTACGATCGGATGGAAAATGTAGTAAGAGTTTTCAAAAAAAAAAAACAAAATATAGTGATTTGAAACTATATGAAATCATGGACCCACGCATGCAATGTTTCACCACCGAAGCTGGAACCCATTATGACCAACAAATACCAATTTTTAGACAAATCAGTGAAAAAATGTGGCAAAAACCATCAAAATACCGAATATCAGAGGTACCGTTATATGGGGGCTATACCAAATCATGAACCCGTACATGCAATGTTTCGCCACCGGAGCTGGAACCCATTATGACCAACAAATACCAATTTTCAGACAAATCCGTGAAAAAATATTGCAAAAATCATTAAATTACCGAATATCGGGAGGTACCGTTATATAGGGGCTATACCAAATCATAGACCCATACATGTAATGTTTCGCCATCGGAGCTGGAAACCATTATGACCCACAAATACCAATTTTTAGACAAATCCGTGAAAAAATGTGGCAAAAAAAAACTAAAATACCGAATATCGGGAGGTACCTTTATATGGGGGCTATACCACAACGTGGACCTATACATGCAATGTTTTGCCACACGCTCAGGGACCCGTTATGACCAACAAATACCAATTTCCAGACAAATCCGTGAAAAAATGTGGCATAAATCATCAAAATACTGAATATCGGGAGGTACCGTTATATGGGGACTATGCCAGAACGTGGACCGATATATCTCATTTTCAATACCAACCATCCTAGACACAATGCAAATAGCTCTGCTAAATTTTGGCGCTCTACGTCAAATAATGTGGGCTGTATCGTGATTTCAACAGACAGACGGACAGACGGACATCGTTAAATCGACTTAGAATTTTATGCTGATTATGAATGTATATACTTTATGGGGTCTAAGACGAATATTTAAGGATGTTACAAACGGAATGACAAAGTTAATATACCCTCCTTTCCAAGGTGGAGGGTATAAAAACTGCAACAAAGTCAAACGACATAATTTTTACATATTTTTAAAAATTGTATGATTTGTATCCGGAGGTTTTGGTGGCCATTGTACGCTGAAAATGAAGCGAGGAACCTCATTTTGTAACCATTCTTGGGTGGCACGTGCTGGGTGCGATGGTGCTGAGTTCTGTTAGAATGTCCAAGGTCTGCGGCCAAAATGTTTGCGTGCCCAAGGCTTTAATACACCTTCCAGAATATTTTCGCGATAATATTTGGCATTTATTCTGATGCCACGGTCGATTTATACGAGCAGAGAGCGACTATTGGCTGTTATGGCAGCCCACACCATCACAATGACCGGCGTTTGAGTTCTGGTGGCCAACCGAAGGTGCACATTTTCAGTTGACCTCTTTGGCAAGTAAACACGATCATTTTGTTTGTTTACAAACTGCTGGACAACGAATGTTTTATCATCGGAGAAAACCAAATTCGGCAGTTCACAACTTTCGGCCAAGCGAAGCAACTCTTTAGCTCTTTGGATCTATTTTCCTTTTGTTGAGGTGTAAGTTCTTGCACATTTTGGAATTTCAATGGCTTTAGCCCGAGCTCATTTGTCAATATTTTCCGAATGAAATATTGCGATTTGTTCAGCTCACGAGCCATTTTTCGGTCACTGCGACGCTGGTGTCGATCAAGTCGCTTCTTTACTTTTCGAAACATTTCTGTTGATGTTGCTGCTTTCTTCCGTCCATTTCCATGACGTTGGGCTACGCTACCAGTATCACGGTAACGAGCGATGGTACGAGGCACAAAAGATTTATTCACATTTAAATGCAGGAGTGCTCTAACGATCGCCACTTCTGGTTTTCCAGCCAAAAATAAAGAAATCACACCATCACGATTGAATTCCATCACGAACAATTTTTTTTCTAAAAAATTCTAACCAAAATGCTTTTTGTACGATTTAAACAATATAATGAGCTGTCACTGGAACAATTTTTACAGCTGTCGGTTGATTGACTTAGAAACGACAGCAGTCTGAAGTTGGTTTAAGTTTTTTCATCTCACCCTGTATATCAGAACCACCAAACACCAAATTTAATGTACTTACTTCTAGACTGAATTCGGTCGGATGTGCCAAAATTCAGGTCATTTGGACTGATATTGGTCATTTGGTGCACAATTAACCCGAAATAGGTTGAAGATATATGGGAGTTATATCTAAATATGATCCGATTATTACCAATTTCAATAGGGTTTTTCCTTGGGATAAACAAATATTGTTTGGCCCAAACAAACAATTTAATCTCAATCGGATATTAAATGCGGCCTGCATTTTGTTCACAAGAGCACATGGACAGACGGATGGACGGACTGACATGCAGAAATCGACTCAGAAAGTGATTCTATGAAGATCTTCAAAAGTAACTATGGGTGCATCTTGCTTCCTACTTACAAACAAATGTATAAAGACGTAATACTTTTAGCACTATATGGTGTAGGGTGTAAAAATTCTCTAATTTATCTCAAAAGTTTACATTTTTTCATTTCAACCAAAATAACACTTATTGAAAATCTGTCAAGTTCAAAACTCTATTCATACGAGTTAGTATGGACGAGATACTAGCTGTTATCAAAACCCATTGCTACATTATCACTTGTCTTAATTTGTTCAAATTGGCATCACTACTCCATTTACAACCAAATGTAGCATACTTTCAGGCGTTACTTATTATAAATTTGTCTTCTTCTTGGGTCTCTTCTTTCCATTTGGTTGAATAAATTTTCAACCTCTTTTTAGCATAAAATGTCCTTGAAAAAATTAATAATAAATGTTAAATTAAATAAATGTTAATAGTTTTTATTAATAAAAATCTCCTTAAAACTACGTACAAATAAATGTTTAATATGAATAAAAAACAAATTAAATATGCTCTTACAATTCTAATCCACTTGTGGCCGTTTTGTATAACGTGGTACTCCCCGATTCGGATTCGGTTGATAGGTTGGACTAAATCTTGCCTCGGCCTGATTGACCCCTTTGATTTTTAGAATATTTCCTTGTGGTTCAAAGTTTTGTATTTTCTGTACCCGATGCGATGGATCGTTCGGATCATTTGGCTTGTAACGATAGGCCACCCACATAAAGACAATCATATCGGCAAACATAAGGCCGGCGAATAAAAAGAATTCATTGGCTTGAGATTTGAAGATTTTCGCCTCAGCCACAATGACAACGATGACATTGCCAAAGGCCACCGTCAGCAGCCAACATGCTTGTAGTACCGATTTCATGGTGACGGGGGATTGGGAATAGGAAAACTCCAAACCGGTTACCGAAAACATTACCTCGCCCAGCGTCATTACCACATACTGTGGTATCAGCCACAGAATGCTCATGGAGTTGGCCTTAATCACTTCGGCCAACTGGGTCACTGTTGTGTCGTGTTCATCAATGCCCATTACCAGGGAATATACCCCACCATGCCTCAGAGTTACCTCATGCACCTTAACGTCATCGATGAGCACATCATAGGTTGTGGCACGCAATTCAATAATTTCTCGATTATTTGCCTTCTTCGTTGATTCGACATCTCCAGTTTTATGCGACTTCCAAACAATGGTACTATCCGGATTGATGTTTGCCAAATTCCTAACCAATGGATTGGCTTTGTTGGACTTTTCCATTGCTTCCAAATAAACATGAGCCGATTGGGGTAGAATTTTATTTTGCAAAAATATACTGTAGGCTAATTTCTCTTTGAAAATGAAGGTGCCTCCGGGAAGTTTGGGACAGCCTAGGGGATGGGAATTGTAGTTAGAATCACGTGTTTGTTGTTGTTATTATTCTTACCTGTTTGCTCTTGTACTGTGTATTTAAGGGGTAAAGTTTTATTTTCAATGTAGATGAATTTCTCATAACCCAAGCCCAGACCGTTGATGGAAATCCTCTCATAGCCTGTCAAGTTGCTGCCCAGAGTATATGAGCACTCAGGTATGCCATTAAAAATACGTAACTGTATATATCCTTCGGAGGGTTGTACGGGATAGGTTTTCTAAAAGAAATAATGGAGAAGATAATCATCCAAAACCCAAAGCAAAACTTTGATAATATCCAAATTGGTCGGATATTGGATTAGCTAAAACCCAATACCCATATAACATATTTCCTAGTGCTGCAGGATTATTTTCTTTTCAAAATTAATGGAAAACCTCATTAGATTGTGAAATTAAAGCTAAAGAAGTTAAAAAGTAGCAGTCGGTTTTGCCGACAGGTGTATACCCTCGGTCAATGTTCGATTATTAAAACATATTTTAACGTCTGTCATGATTATTCAAATTGATGACCCTCTATGGAGTAGGTTTCGAAGGAACGGGCCAATATTGTCCATTTCGTATCGGACATAAATGAAAATGATATAAATATTGCGATGTGCCAGGCTCGGACCATATCGACTACTTCCTTCACTTTATATGAGATATGTGATAATTTTTCGAAAATGTTAACATGTGAGGGAGGTTCCGAAAATAGTCGACCGAAGTTATGACAGATAAAATAGTGATAAAATTGCAAATAGTGATCTTTTGTGGTTGAGGTACCAGAAGGGGTTCGCACATATACAAGGTTAGAAGAAAAAACAGCAACCAACTTCAGACTGGTGTCATTTCTAAGGCACTCGTCCGACAGCTATTAAAATTATTCCAGTGACAGCTCATAATATTGTTTACAAGCGTACAAAAGCATTTTGGTGAGAATTTTCCATGAAAAAAAGTTAAAAGGGATGGAATTCAAGCGTGATAGTGTGATTTCTTTATATTAGGCTGGATAACCGCAAGTGGCTATTGTTAGAACACTCTAGCATTTAAATCTGAATAAATTTATACCATCGTTCGTTACTGTGATACTGGTAGCGTAGCCCGACGTCAAGGAAGTGGACGAAAAAAAACAGCAACATCAGCAAATGTTTTGAAAAGTAAAAAAGCGACTTCATCGAAACCTGCGTCGCAGTTGCAGTGGTAAAATGGCTCGTGAGCTGGACATATCGCAATAACTCCATTCGGCAAACAATGAAAAATGAGCTCGGGGTAAAGCCATTGAAATTCCAAAAAGTGCAAGAACTTACACCGCAACAGAAAGAAAATAGACTCAAAAGAGCTTTGCCGAAAGTGGTGAACTGCCGAATTAGGGTTTCTCCGATGAGAAAACATCCGTTATCCAGCTGTTTGTAAACAAACTAAATGGTCGTGTTTACTTGCCAAAGAGGTCAACTGAAAATATGCACCTTCGGTTGACCACCAGAACTTAAGCGCCGGCCATAGTGATGGTGTGGGCCGCCATAATAGCAGATTGTCGCTCTCCGCTCGTATTAATCGCCAGTAGCATCACAAAAAAAATGCCAAATATTATCGCGAAAATGTTCTGGAGGGTGTATTAAAGTCTTGGGCACGCAAACATTTTTGGAGATTCCAACAGGACTCAGTACGTGACACCCAAGAATAGTTACAATATGAGGTTCCTCGCTTCATTTCCAGCGCACAATGGCTACCAAAATCTCCGGATACCAATCCGTTGTACCATTGTCTCTAGAAAATTTGATGCTATTTCCGATATTTTTAGCTTTCATTCAATAAAATTTAAAAAAATGTAAAAATTATGGCGTTTGACTTTGTTGCAGTTTTTTTTTCTCACCCTGTATCCAATTTTATGCGAAATCATAAATTCCACAATCTTCCCAGCTTTCTGGTTGAGAAAAATATTTAGACATTGCATTATTATGTGTGGTCATCATATGTGTGAAATTTGAAGGCAGTTTGATGTTTATTTCGCTTTCATCGAGCGTTTTGTTTTTCAAAATCCCCCCAAATCTATGTGGGGGAGATACCAGAAGAAATGGCACGATCTCTACCATATTTATAACAGATCTCGTGTTGATCGAAATATTGACATTGTCTTAATGGAATCGAATGTTAATTTCGCGTTTTAATAGCATGGATATCCAAAATAAGACCCTTTGTGGGGTGGAACCAGGAGGAGTAGACCGATATATTCCATCTTCACAGCAGATATTGTGTTAGTAGAAGTATTGATATTGTATTTGAAGATAATCAGATTATTATTTTAGATTTTTATAATCATTTTGGTTATTCAAAACTTTGACCCTTTTTGTGGGGGTGGTATCAGAAGAAATGGTCCGATCTCTACCATCTTCATGGCAGATCTTGTGTTGATGGAAATATTGACATGTACCAATGAATGGAAAGCGTTTCATGAGCTTCATGATTCAAAATGTTGACCCTTTGTGGGGAAGGTACCAGAAGAAGTGGACCGATATATTCCATCTTTACACCAGACTTTGGGTTAATAATAAATTTTGTGATGTATGCAATTTGAAGATAATATCACATTTTATAAGAGTTATAATTATTCAAAATTTTGACCCTTTGTGAGGGAGGTAGTTGATGGACCTGACCTATCTCTGATGCAAACATTACGATTTGCAAAGTTGTAGCAATATCGGATCATCCTTTCTCTATATATGCAGTAAAATATTTTTTTTTTTGAACATTTCTAAATCGGATACTCCCTTCGAGAGTTATCATGCCCATCAGCCAGCTAGACAGACGGACATCGCTAGATCGACTCCAAATGTCCTGAAACGGATTTGGTCCAAAGAGACCTAGGGTTTAAAACAGTTATTTCGACTAGACAAAGCATATAAAGTCATATGGCTGAGGGTATAATTTTGATACCAACCTATATGGGAAAAATATAAGCTTAAAACAACTAAAAAAGCTGCTCAGTTCGGTCGGGCCGAATATTTTATACCTTCTAGCATTTGGAAGAAACTTGAAAATTTTCAAAAAAAAAAAAATACCGCCCAAATGAAAACCGTTATTTGGGGACTATACGAAGATGTGGCCAAGCATAAATAATTTATGTCATAGGCTGTAGTAACGGTTCCGAACTTTATATACGAAATTTGAAACAATTCAGGTGAATAATGTCGCAAATATCATGAAAATACCGAATGTCTGGGTGTTCCGTTATATGGGCGCTATACTAAAATGTGGACCTATGTAGACAATTCGCTTCTAGGGGGTAAAGCACTCAAAAGAAACCCCTTGTGTGGATTTAAAAAAAAATACATTGAAAATGTGGCTAAAATCATCAAAATACGGAATATTAGGAGGTGCCGTTATATGGGGGGATATACGATATAGTGGACCTATATAGACAATTCTCTTCTAGGGAATAAAGTACTCACAAGGAACTCCTTGTATTGATTTTCAGACAATGCCGTTGAAAAATGTGGCTAAAATCATCAAAATACCGAATGTCGGGAGGAACCGTTATAAAGAGAAATATATATTATCGTGGACCTATATAGAAAATTCTCTTCCAGGGGGTAATGCAATCGCAAGAAACTTATTTTGTGAATTTTAAGACGTTTCCATTGACAAATTTGGCTGAAATCATCAAAATACGGAATATTAGGAGGTGCCGTTATATGGGGGGATATACGATATAGTGGACCTCTATAGACAATTCTCTTCTAGGGATAAAAGTACTTTCAAGGAACTCCTTGTATGGATTTTGAGACAATGCCGTTGAAAATGTGGCTAAAATCATCAAAATACCGAATATCGGGAGGAACCGTTATAAAGGGAAATATATATTATCGTGGACCTATATAGAAAATTATCTTCCAGGGGGTAATGCAATCGCAAGGAACTCCTTTTGTGGACAAATTTGCTGAAATCATCAAAATACGTAATATTAGGAGGTGCCGTTATATGGGGGGATATACGATATAGTGGACCTATATAGACAATTCTCTTCTAACTAAAAAAGTACTCACAAGGAACTCCTTGTATGGTTCTTCAGTTTTTTTCCGAATATCGAGAAGAACCGTTATAAAGGGAAATATATATTATCGTGGACCTATATAGAAAATTCTCTTCCTTTTGTGGATTTTAAGACGATTTCATTGAAAATTTTAGCTAAAATCATCAAAATAGTAGGAGTTGCCGTTATATGGGGGATATACGATATCGTGGACCTATATAGACAATTCACTTCTAGGCGATAAAATACTCAGAAGCGACTCCTTGAACTCCATTCAATTTTTCAGACAATTCCGCGCAAAAATGTGGCTAAAATCATCATCAAACGAATATCGGGAGGTACCGCTCGACCCAGATGACCTCAGGGTTTTTTACTTGTTACTTATTAATGCTAAAAATCGCCAATTCCAATTTACGGACTTAATAATTTCACAAAATGTATCTTAACAACAACTCTCCCAGAGCATTTGGGATTTGTTTTTTTTCTAAATAAATATTTTTGTTCTATTTATTTTTTTAAAGAGTACAAAAAATTGCATTAATTTATTCTAATTGTTTTTAACATTAAAAAAAGAGTGTCTTATGTGTAGTGCTCTCTCATTCTTCATTCTTTGTTCTCGAAAGCTTTGTTGTCTGCACCCTCCAATGGCAATGCAGATTTCTCTTCGCCTGCCGTCAAGGGTTCAGTTTCCGCCACGGCATTTGGATTATTGGGTTTGTAGCGATAGGCCATGTACATGAAGAGCAACATATCGGCAAACATAAGGCCGGCAAATAGGAAGAACTCACTGGCCTGAGAATCGAAGAGGGCCAGTTCGGCAATAATGACGACCACAACATTGCCAAAGGCCACCGTCAAAAGCCAACAGGCTTGCAATACAGATTTCATGGCCACCGGAGCCTGTGAGTAGGAGAATTCCAAACCCGTTACCGAGAACATAACTTCGCCCAGGGTCATGACCACATATTGTGGAATCAGCCAGAGAATGCTCATGGAATTGGGGTCGGTAATGACAACCTCCTGGGCATAGTAACCACCATTGTCCAGTTCATGAATCAGTACGGTATAAACACCACCTGTACTCAAGGTGGTTTGCAACACCTCATCGCCATCGACAAGGATTTTGTAGTCTCCCGCCGAGAATTCGGTTAGATTATTTAAATAGGCTGGTTCTTCGTGTTCCAGAGAATTCTTCTTGGTTTTACGCCACTCAATTTTACGTCCGATTTCCACATTGGTCAGTGTTCTGCCCAATGGACTGCCTCGCGATGGTTTATTAACATAGTCCTCGTACCAAATTAGGGGGTAGCTGGTATTTTTCGTATTCATGAATAGAGTGTGAGCTTCCTTCACTGGGAGTCTATAGCTACCCGCTTCGAAGCTATAACAGTTGTCACCTTCAACCGCTGTGAAAGCATAGGTCAGATCGAAAAATTTTCCCGAGACTGGTACATCTTTGTTGACATAGTAACCATGGCGATCAATGTTTATCGTTGGATGTCCGGGAATGTTGGTATTGATGGTGTATGCGCAATTTTCACCATTAAATATGCGCAATTGGGATATGTGATCGGTGGGAAGGGTGGGATAGGTTTTCTAGAGAAAGAGAGAGAGAGAGAGAGAAAGTTTTTGGGAAGAGAGGGAGAAAAGATTTGGTTAAAGAAATAGTTTGGGGGAGAGTGGATGTGGTTTTCAAAAAAAAAAAAAAAATAAAAATAAAATGGGCTTTGAGTCATGAATGAGATTTTTCGTAAAAGTTATGATCAATGCTGGGATGAGATAAAACTGGGGGATGGCTGTAGTGGATGGACAGATTATGTGGATGGGTTGGGGTATGAAGAAAATGTATATAAATATTTGGTACTAGTAAATTATCAAAACATCGTTTGAATACTACAATACAAAATAATTGTAGGAAAAACTCCGTAGATTACACTGTGCGACAAAATTTATTTATTTTTTTTTTTTGTGCAATAATTACAAGGAAAATCCGGCAGATTATGAAACTAGAGCTAAAAATTGTAGACTCGTATATTGGCGTTTTGTAAATTTAAATGGCCGTGTAACTTAAAAAATTGTGCAATTTCACACCTAACAAATTAAAAAGAAGTGAGTTCGGCCTGGCCGAACTTTGAATATCCTCCACCATTTGGAAAGAATTTTGAAACAAAATTCTTTAAATATTCTGTTAATATTTTAAAAATTAGTGTCATAATTCATTACCTAATTCAAATTCGAAACTTGAAATAAACGGTGAATAATGTAGCTAAAATCATCAAAACATCGTATATAGGGAGGTACTGTTATATCGGAGCTATGCGAAGACCTGGACCAGCATAGACAATTTTCTGTCATAGGCTGTAGCATCCATTGCGAACTTCAAATACGACATCTCAAACAATTTCGGGGGGTATTATACCTAAACTCGTCAAAATACCGAATATAGGGCGGTACTGGCATATAGGCCCTAGACGAAGACCTGGACCTGCATAGACAATTTTCTGTCACAGACTGCAGTTCCCATTACAAACTCTAAACACGTAATTTGAAACAATTCCGGTGAATAATAACGCTAAAATCATCAAAATGCCGAATATAGGAAGGAACGGTTATAGGGTGGCTATACGAAGACGTGGACCTGCACAGACAATTTTTTGTCTTAGGCTGTAGTATCCATTGCGAACTTCAAATGCCAAATTTAAAACAATTCCGGTTGATAATGTCGCTAAAATCATCAAAATACCGAATATAGGGAGGTCCCTTCATATGGGGGCTATACGAAGGCGTGGACCTACATGGCTCATTTTCTGTCTTAGGCTGTATTATCTATTTCGAACTTTAAATACCAAATTTGAAATAATTCCGGTGAATAAGTCGCTAAAATCATCAAAATACCGAATATCGGGAGGTACCGTTATATGGGGGCTATATGAAAACCCATGGCCCATTTACGAAGTTAACCTGCCTACTGGAAAAATAAACATATGTGTAAAATTTAGCCTTCGTTTGAATGATAGATTGATTACAACAGACAGACAGACGGACATATTCCATTGGGCTCGGGGTAAAGCCATTGAAATTCGAAAAAGTGGAAGAACTTACACCGCAACAGAAAGAAAGTAGACTCAAAAGAGCTAAAGAGTTGCTTCGCTTGGCCGAAAGTGGTGAGTTGCCGAATTTGGTTTTCTACGATGAGAAAACATTCGTTGTCCAGCAGTTTGTAAACAAACAAATTGATCATGTTTACTTGCCAAAGAGGTCAGCTGAAAATGTGCATCATCGGTCGGCCACCAGAACTCAAGCGCCCGCCATGGTAATGGTGTGGGCCGACAGAACAGCCGATGGTCGCTCTCCGCTCTTATTAATCGACCGTGACATCAGAATAAATGCCGAATATTATCGCGAAAATATTCTGGGGGGTGTATTAGAGCCTTGGGCACGCAAACGTTTTGGCCGCAGACCTTGGACATTCTAACAGGACTTAGCACAATCGCACACGCCACCCAAGAATGGTTACAAAATGAGGTTCCTCGCTTCATTTCCAGCGCACAATAGCCACCAGAATCTCCGGATACCAATCCGTTGGACTATTGTGTCTGCAGTATTTTGGAAAGCAAGGTTGGCACTAACAAATACCAAAGTGTCGATCACCTCAAAAAAGCGCAGCGCCGCGAATGGGCCAAAATACCACAGAGCAACATTCGGGCAGCGCTTGACGGTTATATTGGCCTTTGGAGGCCATAATTCGTGTCAAAGGTGACCAATTCGAACAAATCTAAATTTATTCTAAAATTTGATGCTATTCCCGACATTTTTTGCTTTCATTCAATAAAATTAAAAAAAAATGAAAATGAATTGTTTAAATTGTTGCAGTTTTTTTTTATCTCACCCTTAAAAGGTAAAAATTCACTCGCTTCACAAAAAAAAAAAAAATGCCCCTGTCAACCTTTAACCATTTTGGAACACTAATTGACAAATGCATTGTTTCCCAGAATGCCCGACAATAATTACCCATTTTTTACAAACACAAAAAAATCTCAAAGAGAGAGAGAGAGAGAGAGAGAGAGAGAGAGAGAAAGAGGGGAGGGAGAGGGAGCTTGTTTACAACAAATATTACCATACAAGCAGAAGCGAAAAATCTCCACAACCAAAAAAAAAAAAAATTAAAAAATTAGACAAATTGCTCAGAACTCGAACCTACGTCGATCAGACTTTGAGTAGATGTGTCGGATGTCCGACATTTGGTCCGCTGGGTACACTCGACCAATACCTTATACCAAATAATCTAGCTTAAATCTCTCAACGTCTACTAGAGATACAATTTTTGGTATCTTCTACTTATTTGCGTATCCCTTTAGTTTGAGGTCTCCATTACCCATTTTGAGCACGATTTTTACAGTTTCAGTTTTATGCATTTTTCTGAATTTTATGTGTGATTTTGTTTATTTATTTATTTATTTTTTTTTTAATTTTCTATAGCTCTTAGAAATTTAAAATCACGACCTTATAAGACCCCTATGATTCTCGATTAAATTTTCAAAATTCTAACTTCAGCCGTTTCTTTTGAGCTATGATCGATGATTTTATGATATTAGATGGATGGATAATTCTCAACAACCTTGAGAATAATTTTCAGGACTCCAATTGAAATAGTTTTGAAATGACACACATTATTCCTGCCTTCACCTTAAAACATAACACCATAGAAAAAATATTCTTTTGCAAAAACTTACCTCCAAATTAAGTTCAACAACACCGGAAATGATGAAAGCAACACCAGCCAAAATACCACCCAAAGTCAATTTTTGCAATGGACGACGAATGCCAATCAGGCTCAAGGCAGGATAGAAGGCCACATCGTACAGTGGGATAAATACCAAAATCAACAAAGGATTCAACACTTGCAATTGATCGGGTTTAATGTCCCATGAGCCCATATCACCATCCATACGCGTGGCTTGGAATGTCCAACGGGATCCCTGTTGATCGAACAAGGCCCAGAAAATCGGCAAGGGCAAATACAAAACCAAGACACGCATCAACACCTTAACATCTTCAATCAATTGGCGATCATATTTCTTGTCGGCATAGTCCAACCAATGTTCACGGGGATTGGTTTTCTTCTCCTTCCATTTGGTGGAAATGGCATTCTGAAAGAGATATTTATATAATTTTTCAATTTTCAAATATCTGTATTGTCCTCTAGGACACTTACACCAATGGTCTTGCTGACCAAGACAACCATATTGCCTGCTGGGGGTTTGCTTTTGTACAAGGGGCGACCCAAGATGAAGATAACTGGAAGTAAAAACAAGAATTTTTTAAATATATCCTTAAATAGGAAACAAATTCAGGTTTTCGGTTCGAAAAAAAAATTGTTCGAAATAAATTTGAAAAAAAATTATTTTTTGGAACAATTGGGGTCCAACTCAGACATTCGATATTTAGGCGTTTCTAACGAAATATTCAATTAAAACAACATTTGCAAATTTAAATTAACAACATTTATATATTTAAATTAACTTAGATCGAAAATGTTTTAATATCGAGTGCAAGAGAATTGGACAGAGAGAGAGAGATCAGTAGCACATTTTAGCTCTCACACTTATCTTACTGTGTGAGATTTTATGCTCAAAGATAAATTTACTGAGAGCTCGCAAAACGGGGTTTGCTCAATGCAGTCATTCTCTTCTCTCTCCCATCCTCTCCTTTTCCCAAAAGAAAATCCCCCGTTTCTTACCAATCGAAACCGCCATCAAAACAGCTGGAACACCAAAGGCCAACGAATAACATTCCTTTTCACCAAAACAATGGACATCTTCTCTCAAAATCGGTGTAACCGTTGTCGAAATCAATGAACCAGCATTGATTGAGAAATAGAACAACGAGAAGAATGTGGTCATCTGTTTCAATTGTTCGGGCATCTTGAATTGATCACCACCAAACGCCGAGACACACGGTTTTATACCACCCGAACCTAGGGCTATCAATGCCAGACCTATCATTGTAAATGTTGTTGCCGGCAAATTCAATGGTGGCATGGCGCCCAATGTAACCAAAACAGAACCGCATACATAGACCAAGGAGAGATATAGAATCGTTTTGAATTTGCCCAACCAACTGTCCGATATGATGGCGCCCAATATACACAAGAAATAGACAAACATGGTGAAGATGTGGAAAATAACCGTGGCCGTGTCATCGCTATAGTTCAACTGGCGACTCAAATATAAAACCAAAATTGCTGTAATCAAGAAATAAAATAAAGAGAAATTATTAAAAAAATGTTTAAGAGATAACATAGATCACAAGGACTTACTTCTCATGCCATAGTAGTTGAAACGTTCACAGAATTCGTTACTGATAATGAAGAATACCGATTTGGGATAGGGCAATTTCTGTAAAAAAGGATTCGGTGAGAGATCTATTGTAAATATGTATTGTTTTAATAAATTCAGAACTCTGATTTGCTTAGATTTTGCTCAGATTTGCTTAGATTCATGCTCGCGAGTGTGAGTGCTCCAAGAGCAGGAGTTTTACACGAAGTTGGAGCTCCAATCATTTGATATGGGAGCGGTCGCTTGTTACTACTTTTTGAAAAGTAATAGTAGGAGTCAAAACGTTTGAAATAGAGTAAGAGTTGACTATAAGAGTTAAATCAAGGGGAATCGTGTACAAATTTTAAGAAAAAATAAAAACAGCAGAATATATTGCAGGGTACCAGTGGATTATGTGTATAAACACAATAAAAACAATGCCTTGTTGGCAGATATTGACAATAACGCTTGTTCTCCAATTAGTTTTGGTTTTATTTGGAGAGGCGGGTTCAGGAAATTCATATCTCCACTTACAAATAAAGCAACGGTAGGAGAAAGAATAAATTTAAAAGAGAAGCTGCTCGATTTCCGGCGTATTTTACTCTCACTCAAAAACTAGCAAAGTCCAAGCAAAGCCGTTCTAATTCGAGTGGCATAGACAACAGAGAGTATTCTCGATTTCTCTTATTTTACCCACAGGAGTACTTTCGATCGACTTTTTCAGAGTTCTAAGTGACTTACCTTGACCTGGCCTTCAGCTTCGGCAACATTCGTAGCTTCAATTGCGCCATTGTTTTCGGGTTCTTCAACCTTTTTAGGTTCCACCAATGATGCGGGAGACAGTTCGATGGCATCGGTTTTTGCAGGTTCTACTGGAGTTTCGCTTGTAGTACTCTCCGGAACATTGCCATTTTCAGGCTTGGTTCCTGAAAGAATTAAAAAGAAATATATGAATTTTTGTCAGCTGTATATTTAAAAAAATCTACAATTATTTATGGGTTGAAGTGGATTACCAATTATTAATTATATGGTTTTATACCCTGCACCATTCTATGGAGGGTATATTAGCTTTGTCATTCCGTTTGTAACTCCTCGAAATATTCATGATAGACCCTACAAAGTACATATATTCTGGATTAGCGTAAAATTCTAAGACGATTTAGAGATGCCCCTCTGTCTGTTTATCCGTCTGTCTGTCTGTTGTAATCCCGCTATCTTTCGAACGAATTGAGATAGAAGGCTAAAATTTTGCACACATGTGTATTTTCCCAGTAGGCAGGTTAAGTTCGTAAATGGGCCATGTCGGTCTACTTTTTCCTATAGTCCACATATAACGGCACCTCCCGATATTCGGTATTTTGATGATTTTCGCGACATCATTCACCCGAATTGTTTCAAATTTCGTATTCGAAGTTTCTAATAGTAACTACAGCCTATGCCTAAAAATTTCGTATAGCCCCCATATAAAGGTACATCTCTTTATTTGGTATTTTGATGATTTAGCGACACTATTTGCCAGAATTGTTTCAAATTTCGATCTTAATGGGTACTACAGCCTATAACAAACAATTAATTATGCATCAGGAAATGTTTTAACAATTTAGGCAATATTGATGCAAATATTTTCTCCATTAACGATAGATATAGGAATTTCTTTTCTTTGGGTACCTATAGTACAATTTGATGACGTCATATCCTTCTAAAATGATGCTTTGTACGAGAATCTTGCATAAACTTCTATGAAGTACAGTTTTAACCCTAAAATATATTTTGAATAATTTTGAATTCTTGGCGTTTAGGAAAGTTTAAGGTATTTGATGTATCCTCGGAAAGGATGCCGTTTGGATGGAGTAAAAAAAAAAAAAACGAACCAAAAATATTTTTTGGTGACTTGCTCGGGGGTTAAAATATTCCGATCAAAATAATCCTCGCATTGTTATCAGTAATATTGCCAACGACAAAAAATTTTAAATTTCAAAGAGTGGGAAGATCTTGACCTCTATTTAGGTAACTTTGCCAAAAAACTTTCAAAATGCCGATACACGAGTCATCTATTTTCAGCTCTACTTTTTTAATCTACTATATTTTTCAGATAATTTTCGAAATTTTTAAATTTAAAGTGTGATTTTTTTATTCAAAAATATGAATAATGTGCCTATAGTCATGTAAATGTATATAAATGAATATAGGGATGACCTGTTATATGGGGGCTATAGGAAGACGTGAATCTGTATTTTTGTGTCACAGAAGGGCGTACACATGACAAACCCCAAATAAAAAATTTTAAATAATTTCAGAGAAAAATTTGCTCCTAACCATGGAAGTACCGAATATATGAAGGACCCGCTATATTGGAGCTATAGGGAGACGTGGATCTGTATTTTTGTGTCACAGAAGGGCGTACCCATGACAAACCCCAAACACAAAATTTTAAACAATTTCGGAGAAAAATTTGCTCCTAACCATTGAAGTAGCGAATTTCGGGAGGTACGGTTATATGGAGCCTAGTCCAAAACTTGGATCTATTTGGACAGTTACTGCCGACACATACTGCCAGCTAAATCGTACGATTTAACGCCTTAGGGATATTTTTGTGGGGCTATGTTAAAACTCATGTCCCGCTTCAATTGACGCATTGGAAGACAAGATTGAATCATTTATTCGTGGCAAAAGTATGCCAAAATTAGGCTAAGCGGATAGAACATTTGAGGTGCAGTCGCGGTCAAAATTTACATGAAATAATCTTCACATTAACTATAATTTATATGAAGCGCACTATCAATTTAAATAAATATTTCGCGAATTTTTCAGACTTTTTTGAGCTTTATGAGAGCTATACCTAAATGTTAATCTATATGATCCAATTTCATTACCAACAATTCAACTTAAAATACGTCAGAGTAAAAACTTATCAAATTACTTCATTTCGTTCGGAAACTAGAGTGATTTTCACTGACCGAAAGACATCGGACGGACGGCCAGACATGGCTAAATCAACATAGAATTTTAGGCTGATCAAGAATATATATAATTTGTGCAATCTAAAATGGATATTTGGAGGAGCTACAAACGGAATGACATACTTAATATACCCTTGTTAGGCATAGACCTGAGTGTATAAAAAATGAACGGCTTCTGGTAAGAAATATTAGAAGTGTTGCAAAATGTGGATGTCGGTTCCTACAGATAATATACCCGAATGGGTTATCCAGCAGTAAAACATATCCCATAATGGTAAATGGCTGTAGCTCCTGTTCGTCATTTCTAAGTTGTCGTTTCACTATTGAGATTACATATATTGGAAATCCCAAGTATTGAGCTTAAAATAAAGGTGTAATGTCGGATATCTCAATAGTGAAATATTTAATAGCGACAACTTATTTTTAAATAATTTCCCAATCTCAAATCATTCATTTATGTACGCAATATATTAGTCAATAACTTCATTTATCAAGAATTTATAAATCGGAAAACACTTAACTAATATACGATCACGATCTACAGTTAAGATATTGACCCATCATAAATAGTACAAATTCTATGAAAAAAAAAATATTAATAATCAGAATTGCAATAAATTATTCGCAACGGAATCATTTATTTCAAGGTCAAATATAACTGTGTGCATTTATACGATTTTCTCACAAACAGATAATAAAAGTGAAAATTATTACAATAGACCTTCACTTGTTAAAAATATATAGAAACGAACTTTGAACTATTTAAATATTAAATATATCATGTGAAAGAAAAAACCCAAATTATTAATCACAACGTATAAGCATTATTAAATTGCCAATACAATATTTAATAATTGGTTTACGAAAATCATAGTAAATGATCTTTATTGGTATACGATAAGATATGAAATGAGTGTGTGTTTCAGATAATTTTTTTATATTTTTCAAGAAATTGCACACTGACCCACTAATTATACTTCACAATGCTCATTTTGGGAATTCAAAACATATATCTCAACAATTATACATCAGAGGGCTGCAACGAGTATGCAAAAATTCAAGCATACTCGGTTTCTTACATGATTTTTGTTGATGCAGTCGTTTAGTTTGATCTGAATGAAATGACCGTTTTCGCTTCTGAACGAATCGAACGCTCAGTTTGAATCACTTCACTCACAATCAAACATGAGCGTTCGAGACGGTTTGATGTGTTCAGCAACATGAGTTGATCGAACACATGAATGTAAATGAGCAATCACAACCGTGATTGTCTTCTATGAATCGAGTTCGCTCAGCGTCATTGTTTATTCAACCGTTTAATCAAGTTGGGACAGTTTATTTTGACTTTTTAAATATTTGAAATGGAAGAATATTGTGATAGTGCGACCGAAATTGTTGCAAGTAGAAACTACACAGGTATAGGTAAACGAAAAGGTCGAAGTTTGTGAAAAATCTTGACCAATATTGTAAAATAAAAAAAAATATTTAAACATTTTTAATTTATTTATTTTTTTGTTTTTTTTTCAAATAAGTTACTGAAGTCTAGCATACCAAAAACCCAAATAAAATGAAAAATTGTATGCTTATTAAATATAATTTGTACCAGTTTCTTTAATGGGGACATCTTTTAGTTATGAAATCCTCAGTAAAATTACAATCACGATTTCGCTCAGATTCGAACATTTGTGTTTTAATCAAATCAAATCACTCACTTAACTAGGATAAATAAAACCGATCAGACTCATCATAGATGATCGACCCGTTTTGAACAATTCAACATAAGTTCGTAAACAAATAACTCATGTGAGCTGTTTGATTGCGATCACAAAACTTCGATCAATACATGTTTGATCACAACTTTTTCGTTTGGCTTGAGTAACTCGAATGAACATGTTGCATATGACCGACTGATTGAGTTTGATTGTATTTCCACTGTGTGTGATCAAGCCTACTCAATCATACTCATTGCAGCCCTCTGTTATACATATTGGCCATTTACTCAAAGAGTGTCAGACCTCAAAAAACCAAGTTTCGAGGAAAACGCATTATCGATTGCATTTGGATTTCTCGAATTAAAAACGTTTGCCGAACTCTACATTTTTTGAGTTTTGCCAATCGTTAAGTAAATCAGCGACATGGTTACTGTTATTCGGTTTCCTTACCATATTTTCTAATGGAACAGGTTCTAACTTTGTATACGCTCTCTTAGTTGGTAGAAATTCGACCTAATGTACTTAATACTTATAAAATGTAACCAAGTGGCTGGATATTTCTCTTAACGTCAAAGCTAAAGATTTTAAGTTCTAAGCATGCCAATGGTATGCTTGGCCCATAGAATCTTTTTACTAAAGTTATACTCAATGACAAAGAAGATTAAGATAATATTATAAGTCATAATTTCTGTTATGAACTAAATTTGTGCATATCTCCCAATATAAAGGGTGAGATAAAACCAGTAAAGAAAGTCCTAAAGTCGGGCGGGGCCGATTTTATGATACCCTACACCACTTTGCTAATTTAGTTGAGCTCCACTTAATAATTAAAAGTTTTTATGGGAGAATTCAATCATACACGCTATGATTATAATTATAATTTAAAGTTCAAAGAACTAAATATGCCGAAGCATTTGTATCTTTAAAATTCGGAATTCTATTGCCCATTTGGTGCACAATTAATTTGAAATCGGATAAAGATATATATGGGAGCTATATCCAAATCTGAACCGATCTCGATAAAATTTGGCAAAGATATTACTGAGCTGTATTTGATATATTTCCCTGAATATCGTTGTTACGGAGTGCAAATTTCGGTTGTGGGTAACAAATATAACAAATCGGATGAATAATTTTTATGGAAGCTATAGCTATATCTGAACCGATCTTCACCAAATTTGACATACTAGCTTCTAGACTCAATTCGGTCGTAAGTGCCAAATTCCATCCCATTTGGAAAAATATTAGACGTTT